CATATAAAATGTTATTCTAAAAAATTACGTTTTTAAAATGATAGTTTCTTCACAAATTTCGATTGATTACATAATCTTACAGCAGGAAAAAAGACTAAAACTTATGAATAGCTCGTCTAGCTGCAGAAAAAAGTTCTTCGACATTATGATAGAGCGGTCAAAAAAGACAAGCAATCGATAGCATACCAGATTCTAAATACCCTTCCTTCAGTGATATCAGAAAGTAACTAATACTACCCTTCCTTCAGTGATATCAGAAGGTAATTAATATTATGTATAAATATAATTACATTACACAAATTACGTAATGGCTTCATGGCTTATGTTCAGATAACAAAGATGTAACTGTAATGTATTTGTTACCAACGTTGTTACAACCAACGATAACATCCGAGAAAAAGATAAAATGTCGTGGAAACCAACAACAGCAGAAGCTTAAGAACGTTTGAATTTTACACCAAAGTAAACAACATTATCAAGCGATAAACGATTGTTCAAGTTTACTCTAATAGTAACAGATAATTTCTCGCCTCTTAATGATTCCATAAACTAGCAAATCTTTCTGGAACACAGGAAGAAGAAGTATCAAAAACTCATGCGGCTGATTTAACCATGCGATCATAGTAAGAAAAACATTACAGACGACGAAGGACTTCTGCGTATTATTCGAGAATATAGAGTACAAACTAAATAATGTTGTAGCGAGAGTAGATACGTCTTACAAAATTATACACGTTATGAACCCAGTATATCCGAACCATACAATATATGGATATTCAGAAGTATTTTAACAAATTATATTTAGAAAAAGAGAAAGTGCCAATGTATATTACAGATCTTTTCAATGAGCTTTAGTGCGAGACAAGTGCAATTTTGAAGACTAATTATCTTTCGTCACATTATTTTTTGTAACTCCTAGATAGCCTATTTAAAGTTTCAGTAATATTATTATTATTTATGTTTCCATTATACAGGGTCATCGAAAAGTATTGGACCCCCCTAGTATCTTCAGTTAGAATGCATTTTGGAGAAAATGTCCAATAGCAAAGTTGTATGGTTTCAAGCGGGGAGTAAGATGATTACCTTGATTTTGACCTTGACCATGTCCTTCAAGGTCATTTCAAGGTCAACTTTATTTTTTTTAATGGAACTCCCTACATTTTATTGCATATCCTTATAGCTTATCTCGAGAACTTTCCAAAACACTATTATAAACTATTTTTTCGTTAAGTGCTTTTTGAGTTATAAAGGTTTGAAGTTAACAATTTGTTAAGTGGCGTGTGATTCCGGCCAGTTAAGGCAAGAGTGGCGTGTGGGTCTGGCCAGTTAAGACAAGGGTGGCGTGTGATTCCGGCCAGTTAAGGCGAATTTCATTCCAATTGGTCAGCTTGGGCAAAATATTCAATTGTATCAAACAACTCACAACAAATGTTCAAATTGTTGCCCTTCAACAGCCTGGCAATGTGCCAATCTGTTATAAACAACTAAAACCGCATTCCGGTACGTTTCCGGCGGTATTAGTTCTATCTCTCCCTCTTAAATCATCAAAATCTTGAAGCTTGGTGGCATAAACTTTACTTTTCAGGTAACCCCACAAAAAAAAAGTCAAGTGGGGTCAAGTCCGGAGACCGAGGTGGCCACTCAATATGACCCCTTCGCCCTATCCACCTGTTCTGAAAGGTCTCATTCAAATATTGACGGACAAAAGCACTTAACGAAAAAATAGTTTATAATTGTGTTTTGGAAAGCTCTCGAGATAAGCTATAAGGCTATGCAATAAAATGTAGGGAGTTCCATTAAAAAAAATAAAGTTGACCTTAAAGGACATGGTCAAGGTCAAAATCAAGGTCATCATCTTACTCCCCGCTTAAAACCATACAACTTTGCTATTGGACATTTTCTCCAAAATGCATTCTAACTGAAGATACTAGGGGGTCCAATACTTTTCGATGACCCTGTATAGCTTCTTAGAGTTTGTTCGGATCCATTCGTTATATTTTTTTGTCATAAGAATAAGCACATTAACACATTGACAGCCGGCGACCTAAGAGATATTTAAAGCTTGAGCGCCGGCCTTATTCGCTTGTTTCTGATCACTGAATAGCCAAAAAAAATATTTATAATATTATTTTCGTAAAATAGTACATTTTATTTGCATATTCGTCACATACAATTTAACAGTAATTAAAAATATTAACAAAATTGAAATTTTTTATTTATAATTATAAAAAAAATACAGTTTCTCATTTCATGGTGGATTATTACATATATATAACGTAAACAGAAAACAAAAGCTTTAATATTTAAGGCAAGTGTGTTATTTCTCGAAACATTGTCCAAGATGTAAAGGTACTAAGCATTCAGCACACATAAAGTTACTCTCGCTTCTTTTTACTGTCGCGGCTACTCAAGCGACAGACTCACAAATCCGCGCTTTTGTGGGACCGGCGCTCAAGCGACAGACTCAGAAACCCGCGTTTTCGCGGGGCCGGCTGTCAATGTGTTAAAATGTAATTAAAAAAAAAATAATTCTTTACTAACTTGTTTAGTTCAAAACAACATTCCAACGTTACCAACTTGAAAAACTAACATATATATGTATATATATATATATATATATAGGGTATCCCGTAAGTCGAGATCAATCGCTCAAGAAGTGATTAGAGATCAAAAAACAAGGAAAAAAGTTTATATAAACATATACGTGGAAATAGTTGTTTTCGAATTATCGCCATTTTTATGTTGTAACTTGAAATTGCTGTTTCGAATTTTGTATCAAAATTAAAAAAGGAATAGTATTAGGTGGTGGCATATGAAACCGCACATTTTTGAGCGAAAGAAAAGATGGTGGTTTGGTAGCAAATCGACGAACTGGTTAATCCAAAGTATTACCCGTCAGAACAAACGACCTTAGTCCATCTTTTGACCAACATTCGGATTCCACGCAGGAAGAATTCGGGTTTTTTGGACACGATCCAGTCATCCAGCCGTTTTTTTGACTCCTTCGTACGAGGTGAAGTGCTGTGCCGTATGCGTTAACTGCATCGACCGGAACAAATTGTAATCGGAGGGAACGATGTCTGGGGAACATGGGGAGGGTGGGGTAGGATTTCCCAGTTTACTCCTTCTAAGTACTTCTTAACTGGTTGAGCAACATGCAGTCTAGCGTTGTCGTGCTGCAAACTCAACTTGTCACGGCGATTTTTTCATTCCGGCCTCTTCTCGCGCAGAGCACGCTTCAAATGGATCAGTTGAAGTCGATAACGATTCCCAGTGATGACGGTTTCTGACGATTTCAACAGCGGTGTCCTTAAATTTTTTGGACAATTTTCCGCGGCCTTGTTGTCCATAGAAAAATCACCACTTTGGAAGCGGCGAATCTACTTTTTGCACGTTATGCTCGATGAAACATGTTCGGCATGCACTTTCTCTAGCAAACGATGCGTTTACGCGGGCAATTACTCTGCCAGAAAATAATGGAGCATAATTTCCCGCAAATGTGAATTATTTGGAACAAAACTTGCTAAACACAATCAAAATAGATGATGATAACACGTCGCACTAATGTTACTTATGGTGTTTTGGCGGGATTCTATAGCCCTGTCATCATGTGTATTGCCAACTTTCAATTCGAAGAAGTAGTGCACCTAAAACCATCTATTGCCAGCGGCCGGTTTCACATGCAACCACCTATTGGGTGAGTGCAAAAGTTCGTGCGGAGGTGCAATAGATGGCGTTAGAAGCGGCGTAAAGTTTTGTCATTAATACCGCCATCTCCGTAAGACATCGTTGGAAAGGTGACGTGTGCAACGCTCATTTCAAACAAAAAAATTTGTATATATACGAACTGCTTCAAGAAAGATTACTTTCAAAATGAGTGTCGAAAAGGTGCATTTACGGCATGTTATGCTTTACGAGTTTCGGAAAGGAATAAACGTTGCAGCAGCCGTAAAAAACATTCAAGAGGTTTATCAAGATCAAGCACCAGCTAAACGAACTGTGGAAAAATGGTTTGCGAAATTTCGCCGCGGACAGTTTAACCTTGAAGACGAGCCACGCTCAGGTCGACCTTCAGACATTGATGACGATGTTGTGCGAACTTTAGTTCAGAATACTCCGCGAATTTCAACAGAGGAAGTTGCTACAGCACTTAACGTTGACCGATCAACCGCTTTTCGGCGTTAAAAAAAGATCGGTTACGATTTGAAGCTCGATGTATGGGTGCCCCATTTGATGACGGAGAGGAACAAAATCCAGCGAGTTTCTGCTGCCGTTTTTTTACTCGGGCGGCTCAAAAACGAGCCGTTTTTGGATCGATTAGTGACGGGCGATGAGAAATGGGTCCTGTACAACAATGTTCAGCGCAAACGCACATGGAAACAGGCAGGTGAGCATGGTGAAGCAATGGCAAAGGCCGGTTTACACCCGATGAAGGTGATGCTCTGTGTTTGGTGGGATTGCAAGGGCATAATTTATTTTGAGTTTCTCCCCGCTGGTCAAACGATTGATTCGGACAAGTACTGTCGCCAATTAACCAATCTGAATCGAGAAATCAAACAGAAACGTCCGATTTTGTCAAATCGCAAGGGCGTAGTCTTTCACCACGACAACGCAAGACCACACGTTTCGAGACAGACGCTGCGCAAACTGAACAGCCTGCAATAGGAGTCCTAACTCATCCACCGTATTCTCCTGATATCGCACCTTCTGATTATCACTTGTTCCGGTCATTGCAAAATCATTTAAATGGAAAAAAAATTGACTCTTTGGATGCCTTAAAAAACGTCGTGTCTTCGTTCTTCGAATCTAAACCGCGCAGTTTTTATGATCGGGGCATCCGTATGCTGCCAGAACGTTGGAAAAAGATTATAGACAACGATGGAGAATATATTATTGATTGAATAAAGAACTTTGTTTGCCTAATCACTGTCTGACTTTTACTCACAAACTCCGCACGAACTTTTGCACTCACCCAATAATATATGAGTTTTATAACATACCTGACATCATTTTAAAGTTACGGGCAATTTTAACATTACCCAGGATGCACCACGTGGAGGTACAGGTTTTAGCATCGTTTAGCAGAGATCAGGACCTCGCAGTTCGTCAGTTCGTTTTGAGCTGTACTTAAATGTAGTCTACCTTACGTAGTGCTAAAGCATTCTTTAACTTTTATTTGACTTTAGTTATGTTATAAAACTCATGTACCAATCATCTATTTTTTGGTTTTGAATAAAAATAGCATCATATTAAGTTACAATATAAAAATAACGATAACTCAAAAACAACGCATTTCCGAAAGTATGTCCATATCAACTTTTCTCCTTGTTTTTGGGTCCCATTACCTGCTGAGCAATTGTCCTCGACTTACGGTATACCCTATATGTAAAAAGTATCCTAAATTAATCTTGGCTCCTGTGAAGTGCAAATAGAACGGGTGAAAGTGAGTAGAAAAGTCATTTACCATTTTGCAAACTTCGCAATAATTAATGAGAAATTAAATATTTTGTCTGAACTAATGAACGTACAGGAAGAGGTAGACCAGACTATATATAAAGAAAAATGGCTTAATTCTGAAGATCTCCTAATAACGATGAGTATCAACTGATAGCGAGAGGCGTTTTTTTCCGCGCACAGCACTGTGTCATTCGCTGTTTGCTGCGTTACTCTGTCTTTAGAAATCAGTTGACGCTCATCGTTGCTAGAGGTTTTCGGAAGTTAGTCATTTCCTTCATATAATGTCCCGTCTACACTTCCTCGTACGTTCATTAGCTCAGACAAAATAATTAATTCTCATTAACTATTGCGAATTTTGCAAATGGTTAATTACTTAGTGCCCAATTTCATCCATTCTACTTGCACACCATGGGAACTGAGATTAGTTTGAGACATTCTGTATATTATATATTGAGTGTTTGAGACAACACTTACAATCTATTTAAAAATAAGGGAAGAGGTTATTTTAAAAATGTTTCAGACAGAAGTTGTAAAGTATACAATGGTCCATTTACTGATATTATCAGTTTAACCTTGGATGTTATTGCCAAGGTCAGAACAAGGTCACCTTGAATTTCTTCAACGGAACCTCCTAGATTTTATTGCATATTATTACAGCCTTTCTTGAGACTTTCGAAACACAATTACAAAATACTTTTGCATTATATACTTTTCGAGTTATTAGGCTTAAAATTTCATTACCGCCGGCATTAGCACTATCCAAAAGTAGATATGAGAACCCCGCGATTCGTCCCGTAGTATTTTCTGACTACAAACCTTCTCTGCTGTGTGACTGTGTATGTGTGTGTGTATGTGTGTAGGTGCGCGCGCGCGCGCACGAGCGCACGCACACACAGAATAAAGGGTTCAAAATCAGAAAATATTACGGGAGTGCCGAACCGTGGGATCCTTATATCTACTTTGGGTAGTGCTAATGTTGGCGCTATTGCAACTTTCAAGCCTTATTACTTGAAAAGTATATAATGCAAAAATATTTTATTATAGTGTTTTGGAAAGGTATCAGAAAAGACTATATAAGACCATATAAAAGCTATACCATAATATGCAATAAAATCTGGGGGTTCCATTAAAAAAATTCAAAAGGTGACCTTGTTCTAAGTTTGGTAACGCTATTCAAAGTTAAACTGATAATATCAGTAAATGGATCCCTTTATATTCTAAAATTTTTCTCTGTAACATTTTTCAAAATAACCACTCCATTTGTTTTTAAATGGCGTATATGGATGATTTGAAACACCCGGTATATACGAGGTCTGTTCAAAAAGTATCGCAAATTTTGTGTTTTTTCAAAAATTATTTATTTATTCATGAATATCTATTTTGTCTCCTTCAAAGTAATCCCCATCAGATATTATACACTTGTGCCAACGTTTTTTCCAATCCTCGAAGCACTTCAAAAAATCATTTTTTGTGATCTTATTCAGCTCCTCTTTCGATGCCGTCTTTATCTCCTCAATCGTA